TCAATAGCATTCAAAAGTGAAACGGATCACCAGAAGCTGTGAGAAACCAGTGACCTCACATATAAAGTTTATAAAGCACAGTAATTATACCATATATTATATATATTATAACTGTCTTTGAGATATTTCTGAAAAACTGATTATTGAAAAGTATACTTCAATACCCTTCATCTCTAAAAGTAGCAACTTCAGATACTAAATGGTCCTACCTTATTCTCAAACAAATCACCTGTGAAGCGTTGTCGGTTATTGAATTTCGCAACACCCTGTATATATGCAGGCATCAGGCAGTGAAAATCGCTTGGCAGTAAAGTAAGCTACGCCTGATGGGCTATCAAATTCAATCAATGCATCTATTAATTTCATACTGTCATTTTATGTTTAAAACACCTTTGTGTCTTGAAAACTTGAATTGATGTCATGAAACTTCCTCTCAAAGTACCTAGAAATTTTCCTTCTCCAAGTGGGAATCGGTACGGGGGTGGTTCCATAGTGGGTCACTCTGTATACGCTGACATAATGCGGGGGAGTTCGTTGACCCAAATCATGTGAATCTCGGCGATAGGCTCGCAGGGAAACCCCTCAGTGAGTCGCCTCACACAGATATACGGGGTGTAATTTATGTTATCTCTCCCTGGAGGCGATTCCTCAGCTCAAAGCAACAAAATAAATAAAAACCTATACGAATCCTGATTCCAAGTGGATTTGATTTTCATATTCTCATGATTACTTCAAGCTCAGCTCAAACTCTGGCTCTAGTGGTCAAATCTCAATGAAATTGTGGAGACTTACTGAACTTTCGAGTATATTCCATCAGGTGATGTTGATTTGGAATCAACAATTTTTGGTGGGATCGAGGCTGAAATATAATAAGATGAACTTGCCCTACTATTGCTATTGAATTCTACAGGGTGTCCCAGAACTCAACGTCATCCTTTGGAGAGCTGATAGTCCAGCTCATGACTGACTAGAATATAAGAATATGACCTTAGTAAAATATTGATATTTTGGAGATATAGAAAACCGAAATCTTCGATCAGTATTTCGTGTCCCGTAGGTAAAAAACTTCAAATTTTAAGGTTCTATAATTGTTATACAACCTATGATAGCCTATGATTAAAATCCAAAATAAAAATATTGGTGCAAAACCTTCGGATAAAAATTCATTCTTGCCCGAGCTTTCTAATATACACTCCGAGTCATACTGTATATATACAAAATCAATTTTCGATTGTAATCAATGGAAGGGTTATTTCAGGTTACATAACAAAAATGTGAGCATTTTGGCTTTTTCTTAGTTGAAAATTTGCTTTTTGCTTTTTCTTAGTTGAAAATTTGAATATTAAACAATGAAGTTTAGTACCTGCGGCACTCGAAATACTGATCGAAGGTTTCGGTTTTCACGAAATTCATATAGTTGCCAATATCTCCAAAACTATCAATATTTTACTGAGGTCATATAGTATGATATTATAATTCTGGTCAGTCAAGAGCTGGACTATCAGCCATCCAAAGGATGACGTTGAGTTTTGAAATGTGTGAATGAAAATGAAATGGATGTTTGTTGAATCGTTGTTTTTTAAGAAGTAGGACGACAGCTCTTTATATCTATTCCAACAACATCACAATGTAAGTTGTTTTATTTGTTTTGCTCAATCAGCTTTTGTCAGTATATTCTACAAACGAGTATTGGAATGTCCTATATTCCAAACGAGAGAAAAGTTTCGTGCTTTCCTAGTTTAGAATAAGCCATTCCAAATGTATTGCAGACTATTATACTTTCTTCAAGATTTCAGAAAAACAAAAAAAGACGATTAGGAGAACAGTTCAAGTTTGAAAAAATCAAGGTGTTTCTGAAATTTGAAACATCACAGTAAAAAAAAACTTAGATGAAGGATTTTCTCATTCATTGAAAGATCTTACACGAACTGTCATCAAAGAGAATGCGAATTGAATGGATGTGCGTGTTTTCCATTCACATTCACGATAGTAAATTCCCGTACGAATTTCAGAGAAGTACATTTCAAGGATTTTGAAATATTCAAGAAAATCTGTAAATAAAATCATTCCTCAAAGCCCTGTCACGGCTCAACGGTGCAATTTCGTATAGAGGTAAGTTGATTTTTTATTGGCCTAGTTTGGTCTCTAGTTCACCCTGTATAATTTATGGTACGTTGTTCTGGGACACCTCGTATATATTATTGAAAGCAAATTCAAGCGTGTAAATCGAATTATTCTCTGATGCCAATGATGCCATTCATTTCCTGTGATGATGTTGTCTTGTACCGTTTTCCCAATTTTCGCCCTGTATGTTGAAAGGCGGAACAAAAAACTATAGAAGTAATAGAAAGAGGAAGTGATACAGACGAGAATAGATATCTGGGATCTAGTTGGTATATACCTACCTACACCTATCGTTTATTTCAAGGATGCGCCATGCGGGCCCGTGTAATACGAAAAATGTTTTATAGTTTTTATTAGGTTTCGCCGGGTATTTTTAAACGATAAACAATAAAAAGCAAAAAAAGTGAGTGAGTCGAAGCGTTTCGTGAGACGATTTCTGTACTTACCTCAGAGCATGCACACATTGAAATCACAGAATATTGATACATAAGTAACAAATTATATATTATGATATATTTAGGGATAATAGATATTATACCTACATTAGATTAGGACAGGAAAACAGTACTTATAATAATCATGTTTTTGCTTGTTTTCATGTCCTTATTCAAACATTGTAACGCAGTGACAGCTGTCAATACTACCAACACCAGTCAGAGCTCATTTTTTCAAAATCTTTTATTTTCTATACGTTAGTTTCATTTGGGGTTGTATAAATAATGTATTTGGAATACTTAGAAATAAATGGTTTTTCATTTGACCTAGTTATGTTATTTTAATATGAAGCAACTAGGATTTTCATGTGGAGCTTCCTTAATAAATTTTTCAATAAGTTCCAAAGTCGGTTCCGAAGTAAGTTCATTTTTTCAAATGAAAACTGTATATTTTGATCAATTTTGATCCTTTGAGTTATTGGATAACGAAAATAATATATATATACAGAGAAGTGCACGAAAAACGGCCAGTGCTGTATCTTCTGAGTCATTCCAGATCGGATTTCAAAAATTGGTGGTTAGTAAGTATACCAAATTGTTCATTAATTGACAAAACGATTTTTGTTCAATCACCTCCGGTCTCACCAGAAACGAACCTAAGTTTTGATTTTTCAATGGGACACCCTGTATTGTATTCCATAATCGGTTAGGGATTATTATGACGAATTCAACGATACCGGGTTTGATAGGGTTAGTTCAAACGACTACGAAGATATTTATTCGCGTTCTACGTTTCCATTTGCCCAATAAGTGGGACACAGAAAGAAGTTTCGATATTGCGAAATCACACCCATTGGGCATATGGAAACTCAGAACGCGAATATCTTCGTAATCTTTTGAAATAACCCTATCAAATCCGGTATCGTTGAATTCGTTATGATAATCCCTAACCGATTATGGAATAAAATACAGGGAGTCCTGTTTAAAAATCAAGTTAGGGTCGTTTCCGGTGAAACCGGAAGTGATAGAACACAGATTGGTTCGTCAATTAATGATCAATTTGGTATACTTGCTACCCACCAATTTTCAAAATCCTATCTCAAATGATTCAGTTACAGCACTGGCCGTTTACTTTGCACTTTTCAGTATACAAATCAACACATTGTATTATATTTGGTCTGCTTACTTATGTGTTATTTGTATTTGTCAAACCCAGCGTACGGTAGAAGTAATGTGATTTTTTGTCCTTTCTGCTACTTTTTTGAGGTCAGTTCCATTTTTGTTGAAAATATGTTTGATCTTCATTCTATCAGGAATAATATGGCTATGTAGGAAGAATTTATGCTGGTAGCTAACTTGAATGCGGAAATGAAACATTCGGAAAAAGATGTTTCTATTGTCTTCGAGATTGTTTTCGTCTCGGTTTTCGTGCATTCACTATAATAATATACGATATACTTAAAAAAATATATTACTAGACAACGCGAACAAAAGCCTGCATTACATAAAAGCCGATTCTATTAAAATGCAAACTGCATTTTTCTATAGACCTGTCTTTTATGAATTCAAAAGTAGGTATGTTGGTATGGTGGCCTACTAAAAATCAAGCATGGTCAGTCATCGTAACATGCGATGAAAAAAATAGTTTTTTCTCCAAACGGCATAGAAAGTAGCTTTTCTATGACACTTAACAGGCAGTAAAGGTGTACTTTCTCTGCCTAGGCAGGAAAAGTTTGTTGCTAGGCAACGTTCCAAGTAATTTAAATGAAATTTGTAATCAAAATTGACACTGACATTGGATGAACACGAAATGATAAAATTACTCAAAATTGGTTTTTATAACATTCGGAGAAAAAATTATATGTTTCACATGGCAGCAAAGTAAATTGACTACCTTGGCTGAATTGCTGAACTGTCAGCCGCGGCAGAGTATCTACTACTTTTGCTGCCTAGTAAGAAAAGTATCTATAGGAAAGTGGAAGGTTTTCGACTTTCCTACGGTGTGTTATTATAATGATGTTTTTTGAACGCAGGGCTACATGAACTATAGTTTTTTTAAACGAGACACCCAGTATTCCTTCACAAATGTTGATGTATTGCTTGCTTGTCTACACAACCATGTCTAATTTTTGCAATTATTTTGCGGCGTTGCCAAGTTAATTAGAAATATTTCTAAAAATTAAATTACAAATGATATTGGTTTCAATAAGTTGATTTTCGTTTTCAAAATCTCCATTCAGAATTAGGCATGAAATTCGATAATATACTTCGACTATTGCTTCAATTAAATCGTTGAGAGCTCGGTTAGGAGTTATCTCAGGGTGATTTTTAAGGAGCTGCCAATGTTGACTCTTCCGCGAATGGTCATTACTTTATTTCAAATTGAACAACCTTTTTATTTGGTGTATTTGTCATACATTCAGCTATATTGTTTTGTTTCAGGTCGAAGACGGTTGCACCTTTATCATCACAAATATCCGCCGCCCTGGGCCTTCCTGTTAATAGTTTTAGTGTCTTCTTTAATTAGTATAGTAGGTGAGTATAAGTACCTCATTTAATTTCTTGCGGTTACTGATCATCTTACACCAATTTCCTCGCCAATTTCATTATCATTCGGAATCTTTTCCAAGAGAAAAGACAATTTTCCTTCAGAAAATAAATATGACCCCTGGCAAAAAGCCAATATACCTATGCTGATGAAACTAACCTCAACGATGACCAAAACTTCAATTAGATTTAAGAGTCGGAAAATCTTTAATCATCTACCAGCTGAACTGAAGAGTATGACAGACTTAAATGCATTCCGAAAGCGAGTGAAGAAACTTCTGCTTCCAAAAGCATATTACAGCTTGGGAGAATATCTTCGAGACAGATTTTGAGTACCTGAACTTGTGAGTTGAAATCGCCTGATTTTGAATTATTTTAAATCATCTATTCACCCATGTCAATTCTCAAAATATTCTGTAGAATCTTACGTCTTGTCTTAATTTGAACTTTTATACTTTCTGTTGTATGTATGTATATTACTTTATTTATATATTTCAAATTGATGACAAATTCATGCTTTGTCAATAAGATTTCTTTTCTTCGACAATACAGTATATTCTGGATAGAATTGAAAAACAGTGTGGAAATCAGCGATATCAGAAGCAAAATGATTTCAGCTCTTACCACGCTCTTACTCGATTGATTTTGGAAAGTAAATTTGATTTCAAGAAAACGTGACTATTAATAATTACGGATTGTCTTTTAATATTTTATTTGTTGAGCGAGCATTCACTATTATTGAGTAGTTATCAACCACCTACGATACAAACACGGATACTATCCACTACGTTGATAAATTCAATATTTTGTCATTCTAATTACCTATGTGGGTCTATATAGAACTGTGCATTTTTAATGATATTTCCAAGGATAATGGCTTTAATCATGATTGATTGCCTCTCGGTAAATTGAATGGATTATAAACGGCCAAAATTCGTCACAGTGTCAATCATTATACTAATGCGACTAAGTTATGAATAGTAATGCACAGTTGACATTCCAATTTTTAGTTTTCGTAGACTTTTATGTCATGGTTGATATAATGTTGATAACGTACCTGCATTATTTGTTTCCATCAATTCATCACTATTTTCGCAAATTAAGTCATTTCCAACCTCGACCGAAAAAACGAAAGGTTCTTTTCGCGTTTCGGTCGTGGCGTACTGAAAAAAAAAAACTTATCCGATATCAGATGGCACGCTGTCCATTTTCAAAATGGAGTGTTCAAGTGCCGTGCTTGTTATTCAAATATTGCATGTTTAGATGCCTCATTCCAGATTATTTTTCGATTATGCAGTAGATTCGAATGAAATTTCGTTTCACTACTTCACAACTATGCGGGAAATAATAATTGTTTGCACTCGTAATTTATTGTAGTACTATAAAAAAGCATGCAGTAAAAAACAAATGATTTCATTAATGTAAAATGATAATCTACTATTATGTACGGTACGATAATGATTATGAATCAGAATATCTCAAAAGCAGAATAATCTCAAAAAGCCTAAGTGAATGAAATTCTGGTTTAAAACATTCTTGGTGTCATATTTAACTCTTAGAAAATTCATTCTTAATTATTCGTGACGATCTTTCTATAAATACACTACACGCATCTTGCTAGCAGCTTTATTTTTGTTTTGATCAACATATAGCTTGTTTCTGATAAAACGTTGTCAAAAAATCCCACCCAATTTCAGATTGGATCCACCTGTAGGAATCATTTACTGATTATCTTATTACATTAAAGAAAATGTACAGACGGATACATTTCACTCAATTGGAGAAAGTCAGAGCTTATACCTTCAGGTGACAATTCAAGTAGTTTTTGATATACCCTCCAATCGAAATGGTGGATTAATTGAAGAGGACTGTATTTTATTGACGTTAATGATATCATGATTGTGTCAACAGGTGGTCATCCAGGTGTTATTTGTTAATGTGTGCCGTATGTTTTTGTTAATCGTATAATAACTTCGGGATATTTTCCTGGTAATTCCACAAATATGTAGGTAAAACTTTGATATCAGATAAAGTGACTCAAAGGTTGTTAGTTACTTATTCACCTTCCTAATTGAAAACAAACTTACCAGTTGTTTTTAATCAGTTAATTCAGTTTCCACACATTGTTACACTAATAGGCCACAAAACTTTTATAACATTTTAATGACTTGTTCAAAAATAACAGAAATTTTCTTGAAAAAAACGCAGCCGAATCAGTAAACACCCATTTTTAACAACATGATGAGTTCACATCAACAATCTATAGTAATATATAGTTTAATACTGATATAATATCGTTGATGTTATTTGTGATATATGACAAACACAGACACATCAATGCGGTAATACAATCGGATTTTCTATACTTTCTTCAAAGATGGCTACTACATTGGAGGTTTCAAAATGATTTTTTTCTTAAGAGCGTGCGCAAAGTAGCACTTCTCTGCACATATTTGCATGCGCAAAGTCACACTTTTCCGCACGCCGTGCGGATAAGATTTATATCCGCACTGAGTGCGGAAAAGTAAAACTACTCAAAAATCTCACTAGTATGGAAAATTTCAATTCATTTTAGTTGCTGTATATTGATTTTTTATGCGATATGAAAAGCCGTATTCCTCTTTACCTTCCAACTGTATTTACCGATATTTGTATGTATGAATAATGATAAATAATATTGTCAAACAACAATATGTGCAGTTGTCAACTTTGACATTATTTTCATTCATCAAATCGAAAAAGGTTCAAAAGCTTTTGAAATGAACAGTTCTGACGACGAGCTATTAGATTCCATCCTATTAGAGGCAGCAAACTCTGCAAGTTTGAAATTACTACCCGTTAAATCTCAACAAAAATATAAGAAACAATATATTGTTTGAATATGGTGCCACAACAAAGGGACAAGTTGTATATATGGGAGGAGGCCCTAGCCTTTTTTGCAGATTTTTTTTTATCGCTTGAAGCGCACGAAAGGAAATCCCTATAATGTTCTTAGAACATCGTGCGTTCCTAGGGAGGATAGGGACAGGAGGTAGGTATTGGAATTTTTTTTTAACCTCTGGAGATTATATGTTGTTGGGAATACTTCCTCAGACAATGAATTCCAGAGCCTAGCCGTTCTATGGATGAGGGAGTTTTGATAAAGTGCTGTTCGACATCTTTCGAGGTTGACAACGAAAGGATGTGCTGATTGGGCTTGTCTAGTTCGTCTGACTGGTGTTGCTAGTGAATGGATGATAGCAGAGATTTCCGAAGAACATTTCCCGTGGAAGTATCGATAGAAAAGTGAAAGGTCGCCGACCTTTCTACGGTGTTCCAATGATATGAAAGAGTGAGTGAGTGTGGCGTCACCCACCAGACGAATGGCTCTTCAATGGATGGAATCTGAGAGCATCAGCGTGTGTTTTGGTGCTGAACCCCATATTTGGGAACAGTATTCTTTATGGAGCATAAGTATATGTACCTATACCTTCTCTATGTTAAGAAGCGTTCTTATAAAGTTGAAATAAAGTTGAATTTGAGTCAATATTTCAAGCTAACATCGGATTTTATAGAAGCAAAATGTGGGATGCCTACCGAAAGAGGTCAATCTGTTTACAAAAGTGAAGTTGGCAGGAACTGGAGTGTTTCTCTCTGTTTGACACATGAGAGTAAGAAGGAAACATATACATTGAGTGCAGAAACACTCCACCCAGTGCCAGCCAATGGAATTCGCTATTAAAGTCGTCACCATTTTTGGGTTGGCCAGTGTTTTTTTATTTTCGTTGTTATATGATATGTAGCACGCAAAAACTTACGTAAAAGTAACACTTGTTGGGAAGATAAATATTTCAGGTGTTCATAGAACTCATCTACTTTCTGGTTATCTGTGTATGTTATTATAATATGATGATAGAAAGCGGGAAATCACCGCATGTGAAAAAGAAAATCATATTCCGAGTCATATTCGCACATTCGTTCTTCCTGGGAACTAGAGATCTCTCTTTTCCGAGTTCTTGGCGTCAACGTATAAGATGAACGTGAAACATATTAATATATACAATGTGCAGTAAAAATCAGGAAGCTCTCCTATAGCTGAAAGCCTCTTCCACATTATTTAGTAAACACGGATTAAGTAGCGTTACGTAAAGGTTAACTACGGTCAATGGTCACCAACCAGTGTAAAATACACCATCAACTACACGTACTAAATAGATGGAATCGCTGGCATTTAAATAGAGCAGGCAATCGTTAAAGAAGTCGTCTTGTCGGTGATGACTTCATTTGACATTTTTATTTCGGATGATGACCTGTTTCGTGGGCGATTATGTCTATCACTGTATATTAGACGCAGTTTCATTAATCGTTAACAAGTGTAGAAAAGCTCGCCCACCAATAATAATAAACAAATACTAACTACCGAAAAAACGTCTAATGACTTCCTCTTAAGCGTATTGGCCATAATAGGATTCAACGAAATATTCGAATAAACTGGAGTCTCATTTTACCGGACTTTAACAAAAACTGGGGAGATAGTCCAATAAATGAAGGAGGAAAAAAAGGCAAAGTTAACGTTAATTACGCACTATTTTCATCTTCCGGTTGGAAGTAGCTTTTGGTACCTCATCGAACATGAGACAAAGTTTGACTGGAAAACGCGTGCGATGGCGGAGAAAGTGGCCCCAAAAGACCAGGAAAATAGGGTTTCAGCCAATATCTCCTAAAATATGGCAGTTAGAGATTTTCGGTTCAGATAAAAATTGAAGTTCAGTTAATTTTCTACAAAAATGATCCTTATCATTTTTCTCGAAAATGTGCCCGGTTTCGAGAAAAACGACACGAAGCGCACCTCGAATAATGAGCTTCTGTGTTGTATGCCGGAGAGCACAGTCCGTGTATTTACACATCGGCGGGGGGACAAATTATTCAATAACTTTGTTAAAAATGCATATTTTCTCATGATTCAAAGTTCATGTGAAAGAGGAATTCTGCTGCTATCATACCCTGCG